GTAGAACATAATTTTGTTTTAAAGGAAAACAATATTGTTTGTATTAAGGTAGTTACCACTATTTGCCTTTGTATAGATTCTAAATGACAAAATAAAGGTTGGTTTACAACTAAGTTTTACAGTATGTTAGAATAGTGCAGCTTGTGTTCCTAGGCTAGAATTCTCATAACAGTTTAACTGCCTGCCTGAATATTGCATGTGATATCAAGAAGTGAATTGAATATATGGGAGTCAAAAGCAGTTATGGCTATCGAAAGTCTGGCAGTAGTCAGACATGTTGGGTCTTTTTTTGCATGTTGAGTTATGAGTAAAGATTTTATAAGCCCTATCATGTGATTCATCCTGGAATAGAATATTTTAATGCATATCCTGACATTTCGGGGCTAGAATACTAGTGCTGTGATGACACTTGTATGTTTTTGTCTTTTATTAATGAGCCAGATCCTTAAGCTAGCTGAACCGACATAACCTACAGCAGCTGAGGCCTTGATACTTAGAAAACGAGATTTTATAAGGGGCTTAAACATTTTAAAACACTTTCTATTACACTTTGAGATAGGTTTAACTTTTTTGGTAGGTAAAAATGTTGGGAGAAATATTTGCCTTTGTTTTTATAGAAATTGTACATGGCTAATTCAGAATGGCAATAAAGAAACATTAAATATGCTGTTTCTGAAGATATTGCACATAAATGGACCATTTACATAGCTTTCTAGATAATAAGTTAATGCAGAATTACTAAAAATATGAATACCAGTATGTAAAATATAGGATATTTAAATGTTTCTGGGAAAACCGTCTTGTATCTTATGGAGTCACAGAAACACTAGAGTTCTACTACTCTTATCTATAAGTAAAACTCAAATATTAACAAACTTTATAAAATTATAAAAAAAAAGCGCCTCATTCAACAAATACTAAATTAGATCTTTTAAAATATCTGGATCAGCTGTCTATGTTAGTCATGCACACACACACACACACACACACACAAATAAAAATTACGAATATCACACACACACACACACGGAGTTAAGCAAAAGTATTTAAATCTGAATCTTATTTGTGTTTTACCTCACAATATATAATACTTAAAAAATACTGTCTAACCATCCATAATATACAGTCTCACTGGACTCTGTAGAGGCACAATTTTTTTTACACTGTTGACAACAGCCCTGAAATCACAAGTTATACAGAGAAACGTAGGTAAGCATTACAAGCACGGACATGAACAGGTAAACAACCAGACAGTATAGTTGACACTGCATAGAAAAAAACACAGTCCAGGTCAGCACTGAAACAATGCAAAAACTGCACAAAAACTGGTATGTTTGCTTTTAAGGTTGTTTTTTGGCTTTAACCCCTGCTTTTATTCTCAATTATCTAAGTAGCCTGGACTTGTTTTGGTCCTACTGCAACGCCATTACAGTCGAGAATGTACTGTAAACAACCTTGAGGTGGTGGTCGCTGAGGTGGGAGTTTGTTTGGCTCTGGCTCCTTAAGTGGTCCACTCTGGAAGATAAATACAAAAACAGAAGAGAGTGAAAATTAGAGTGGCATAGTTACTATAACAAGTCTGCTTGTATTTCCATTTGTTTGCAGCTTACCACGCTCCCTTAGAAGTTTATTTAGGTAACATGTAAAAGTCTAGTGTAGAAACTGCTTGCTTCTGTGTGTGTATCATGGCATACAAGAGCTCAGCTTCGGGACATTTTCAAAAAATGGTTTTCCTTTTCAGCATGTAGCCATTATGATCTATCTAATATGGGCAGTGTCTCCTTACTTCTAAAGGATGAGGGCTCTCCAGTATCTCATTTCTGCTGCTTTCTCTATGATTCTGTGAAGGAAGCCATTGGCATGGATTGAGGGGTGGAGGGGGGAAGGGAAGGGGGTTGCCTTCTTTTGTAACTGGGGGTGCTGAGCTTCTTCCTTGGATCTCTCAAGTATATTTTAACCACATTTACTGTGACAGGGTATTAGCAGTGCCCTTGTTGCCCTGCTTTACCTGTGGCAGGGTTAGGGGTTCTTGGTGTTTTCACGGCAAACTTCTTTGTACTTGTGTGACAAGGTTGCTTGTGTAGTTTTTGGAATATCTAAGACACATACAGGATGGGTTGGATAGGGGTGATCCTGACTTGAACAAAGGGTTGGACTAGGTGTCCTCCTGAGGTCCCTTCTGGACCTACTTTTCTATGGTTCTACAATTCCTTTCAGGTCTTTCTCTTCTGATTTCTGTTATCTTGAACAACATTTCTGTGTCACTGACTGTCCCCTTTTCAATGTATAAAATAAAACATTTGAGTTTCTGCTTGCAGCTCAGGGAAAATTGGAAACACAGCAAAGCAGAATCTGTGGGTGCTAGTTTCACTTTGATTCTCAGGCTGAACATGGAAAAGGAAATGAATTACTCTGGCTTAGCTGTTTTGCTGAGCAAAATTAAAGGAGGAAGCAAAACCACAGATAAAGAATGAAAATTATTTAAATTACTTCATTCTACCCTGTGTGACGTGTTATTAGAATCATGTCCTACTTAACTGTTCAAAATAGATTATTTTCAATGTATATTTCTTTGGAGGAAGCAATAGGCCTGAACCAAAACTTTCTGGCAGCATTAAGACCCAGACCTCAGCTTTGTCTTAGGCTCATCATTATTATTTTTTAAGTATAATATATGAAATTATTGGACAAAGTAGCTTGTGTTTTTTTTATAAAAAATCCAGAAATTGAATTTCCATTTGTCAAGAAGGAGAAAACCCAGAATCTATTAAATGGTGAATATAAAATGAATAAATATGTGGGGGTTTTTTTTGGGGGGGGGAGGGAGTTCTTGAAAAACTCACTGTTTTTAGACAGATTTGTGCTTGATCTTAGCACTGAAGAAATAAATCTTATGCCTAATGATTAAAGTTCCTATGCAGGAATCTAGAAATTGTAATTTTTGTGTGTTGCAAGGCAACAGCATTCTAGCCTAAGCAGCTGTGCGGAATTTTTTTATGTCTACTTTAGCTGCATAAATAAAAGACAACGTGACAGGTCCAACACTTAATTGTTTTGGATTACTAACTCCAAGAGAACAAGAAAGGGGGTAAAAAAAATCATACATATGTATAAAAGGAATGTGGTAAAATCTGGTTGTCATAAGAGGGGCTGAGCAATTACATAGTTTGCTAAGAACATCAATACAAAGACAGGGATAAGTAAAGGGAAAGACACTTTCACAAAGGACATGATTACCATACCTGGGAAGGTCATTTAAAAACCTCTAGACTGGGAGTGAACTATTTAAAAGGTCAATCATCTTGGTTCTACAAATGAGGCTGTGGCCTAGAAATTGTTCTTATAGCTAAATTAGACAATATTATAACTCTGGGAATAGACCAGTCACTTTTTGGACACTGGGCAAACCAAGACAGGGAACTGGAAGCCTTTAAGGTTCCGCTTGGGGTCATTTCCTTCATGTTATTCCAGTGAAACACTGTATTTGGCACTTTCCTCCAAATAAATTCATGGCCTTGGGTGCTCCAGGCTGAAGAAGCTGAAACTTTCTGTAACATTAGGGAGTTGCTGTTGCTTGTGCCCTCCCCACATGCAAAACTCCAAAGAAAGTAGCAGTCCTGGGGGAACTAGGTATAATAATGCCATAGCAAAGACATTTCCCCATTCCATGCCCTCTTGGCTGGAGTGTGTGTGATGTATATCCCCTGTGCTTGCACAGACCTGCTGCAGAACACACACTGCGTGGGCAAGAACCTTCAGTAACTTCTGGAGGATGGAATCAAATGAGCATGTGACTCTTCTTTGAGAGCTAACACTATACTCATTTGTTTTATAATAGTAGTGACTGCTAGAACTACCCTGAGGGGTTTTGTGGCCTTACTTTTACATTTTCTTTTTTTATGTAGGCCTTTTGGCTAAAATCAAGTGTGACATCTGAACTCCCTGGGATTTGCACATAGGATGCTTGCCTGGATACAAGGAGTACCTGAATTCCCTGGCCTGTGGGTTTGGGAGGGAGGATATTAGCCTGAATGTAGTTTTAGAGAGAATCAGTGATTCAGACATAGACACAGCTTTAAATGTTTTTTTCTACATACCTCGAGGTACCAGCATGGCTCATGAACTCTGCAATGCTGGGGCAAATGGAGCATCCCACAGGAGTGCGGGGGGCTCCCCAGCGTGCTCAGCAGCAGACCCAAAAGTGGACCAGAAGCACTTCCAGTCCACTTCTGGGTCCGCTGGGGAGTGCGTAGGGGGCCCCCCTGCACACTCCCCTGACTTGGCGATCGGCCACAGGGGACCCCAGTACCCCCCAGACCCAGAAGGCACCAGTTGCCAAGCCAGAGGGAGGTATGGGGGGCCCCCCCAAGTGCTCCTTGGCGGACCCAGAAGTGGACTGGAAGTGCTTCTGGTCCACTTTTGGGTCTGCTGCTGAGCACGCTGGGGAGCCCCCCGCACTCCTGTGGGATGCTCCATTTGCCCCAGCATTGCAGAATTCATGAGCCGCCTGCTACCTTGAGGTTTGTAGAAAAACATTTAAAGCTGTGTCTATGTCTGAAGCACTGAATCTTTATGAATCAATTTGGAGGGTTCTGATTTGATTTGGAGAGATTAAAGGGTCCTCTGATTAGATTCAGATTCGGAGATTCAGTCACCAAATCGGGCCAAATCTTCACCAAGTCGAATCCGAGATGAAAGCTTCACACAGCCCTACTGTAGCCATTTAGTACTTGGTTATGCAAGTACTAAGTGACTACACAGTAACAACTGTGAAGTCAGTGTCTTGTATAGATGCAGCCTGTATGTATTTGTTTTTGTTCTTTTTTTAAAGTTGAAATAAAGGATTGTGTGAAGAACAATCAAGTCTTGTTTACAGGACCTAAAAATGGAAGCTGATTCTTTAACATGGTTATGAATTTAAAACAGTCTCTAAAGGTCCTTTGACTGTTCTATACCTTGAGGCTAAAATAAGTTTGCTACTTGTCCATGTGCTGGCAAGGTCTTGGGCTTTATTACAGATCCCATTAATCTCTCTTCCCAGGACAACACCTTTTTACATGGAATGCTATTATCCTAAATGAAGCATTCCAACACACCTGGTAGCATTTTACCTTCACTTTACTCCAATACATTCCCTGTCTAAACTGTTTGGAAGCTTTAAAACCTTTGCATGCTTTCCTACTGAAGATGCAGTTAGCTATCTCTAGTTGCTGATTGCAGCTATCTTGATTTTACCACCCACACATCTTCTGTTCACCAAATATCACCTGGTGCTTCCAGGAACCTTCCAATCACATGTCTATGCTACTTTTGCTAATTAGCCAACCCACCCCAAAAACCTAACTAACATTATAATCTTAAACTAAGAGATTTTACTTGTTCGATTATTCATTGGTCTACAGTAATTGGTTCACTTTCAGGAGTCTGCTTCTCAGACAGTAACCTTGATGTTAAAAACAGGCTGGGAACCAAGTCTTCTCATTCCCCACTTGCTTGATTTATGAGCCAAAACTTCTAATGAAATCTGGACTTTTCTTAAAACAGCAGTTGTTGGCAAATTGACTATAGACCATTATTCTCACCTCTCTTAGTTGGTGTGCTAATGCCATTTTGTCAGTTCTTGTGGGCAATGTAATCCCTCTCAAAAGAGATGCGCAGGTTCTAGGTCTGTGCGGAAGATCTATCCTCCTAATATTTCCATAATTGTCCAGCCTAGAAGCTAAACCTCTTTCCAGTGAAAGCCTTCTGTAGTCAGGTGAGTGCTATAAAGCAGGCTACAGTGATTTCCCAACTATGTGTATAACAAGAGGTACTTTGCTTGCATAAGTATCTGGGAAAAAAAAACAACCCTTGAGCTAGTATAATTACAACCAGAGTATTTCTTCTGTGGCTAGATAATACCCTCCTTGCTTGGAATCAGTGCAGTAGTATCACATAGACTTTAAGTAAAGACTGTCTATACATTTCTGTGGAAGAAGAAATAATAAAGTGGGCTTTATCAAAATTTAGGAAGGACAGGGATAAAAAAAAGATTAGTTGCTCTCCAAAGCCTCCAAAAACTCCGTGGACTTGGTCATACAGTAAAAGCTGTGCTATCTGGCACTTTACTATCCAGAATGCTCTATTAACCGGCATGCTGATCAATGCAGCAGAAGTGAAACTGGAAGTCCTACCATGGCACTTCCAGTTTTGCTGAATCCTACTTTGCCAACTTTGGACCACGGCCTGAGGCAAAGCAGCCTGTGCGGGGCCCCGCTTCCTGTCCCCTGGCACACTGATGCCAAGGAGTGAAAGCCCTGGTGCACCGGATGCAGTGGGAGTGATGGTGGCCCAAACAGGCAAAGACACCTCTCAGATAACTGGCACATTTGATTAACCTGCACTCCCCATTTCCCATGGATGCTGGATAACACAACTTTCACTGTATTAACACTTGTTCTATCTATATATGCATAATATAGAGACAGTGCGTTTTTATATATGATTGAGTTTTAGATAGTTTGGATAATGCTGAAGTGGGTGGCTGTTGAGAGCAGTAATTTGGCGGGGATACAGCTGTTGGGCAATAGAGATGCTATACTGTGTACCTGTGAAAATTGGTTTTGATTTAGCTCAGTTGGAAAGTTTTGAAAACTGTAGTAAGAACATGTGCAGTGAAGTTTTTTTAAAACAATGAGGGAAGCTTTTTTGTAACTTGTTCAACGTTCTAGAAGGAAACTACGTCTTACAGTTCAGGAAGTATAGGTATAAAATGAGAACTGACAGAAGTTAAACAGCATTAGAGTTTGCAAAGATGATTAAAATTAAATAACAAAGGTTCTATTGTCATAAAGAACTAAGCAAGTTGTGTGAACACAATGAAGGGAGGATAGGATAGAGAATAGAAATAACCTAGCTATGGCCTAAATGCTTAATTAATGCTTTGCTTCACTTTTTCATGGCTATAGCATTGAACATGTAGGCAAACACAGAATGGCTACCCTGTCTTCAAAATAGGATGGCTAGAGGGACTGAAGGTATGGAAATGGAATGGAAATGACTACATCTAAGTTGGAAGCAAAACCAAACTAGCTTAATATACTCAAAATGGGGTGACTGGATAACATCACAGGAGGAACTGGCACATAAAATTATGAGAGGGAGAAAAGGGGCAGGGCAGCCTGCACATGTGGACCCTGGCAACTCAGAAGTTTGACAGCCCTGTTTTAGACAAAGGAAATCTCATCTATCTAGACTTCAGTAAGCCATCTGATACAGCATCAACATTACTAATTAAACTGGAGAAGATAAGGATTAGTAGAAGAATTGTAAAGTGGGTAAGGACCAAGATGAAGGAGAGACAACAAGGGGAAGTGTTAGTCTGGAGACATTGATGTTCCCCAATGAATGGCCTTGGGAAAGACCTTGTTTAATATATTTTTATTAATGAGTTTGGCACAAACAGTGGGAGTGTACTGGTGAAATTTGCTGATGAGACACATGGTTGGGAGGCATTATCGATACAAAGGATCAGGGATATCATGTAGGAAGAATTGGATGGTTTGAAGATTGAAGTAACAGAAATTAAATTAAGTGTATTACTCTATAGGTGCATGCAAGTGAAAGTTAAATAGTTTGCTCCCACAGTCTACACTATTTTGAAAGTCAGAATGAAAGTCAATGTGCGCTCCTGCCCTCCAGGAAATAAATGTAGATAGAAAAAAGATCCTTGGTACAGCATTTAAGGCTGCCTTGCATTCTAGTTCTAATTTGATTTATAGGTGACTTCTTAGAGTAAGATAACACAGCCCTGAAGAGAACTAGTTCCAGGAAACTGATAAGCAGTCTTACATGCTGGCACAGGCCTTACTTCAGAATCAGATTCTGATTATGAGAGATACAGTGACTGGTGAGACAGATTCTAATGTTAATGCAAACAATAAAAATCATTATATTTATTTTTTCCTCCTTCCTGGAGAGACTTCTCCAAGTTAATATTGCCAAGATGAATTCATGAATTGGAAAAAGCATAGATTAGCTATTGTTGCTAAACCAGTTTGCCCAGTTACCTGTGTAAAACGTCTCAGTGTTTTCCACACAATGTGTGCATGGAAAAAATTCTTACAGGAAAGGAAAACAGTCATGGACTTCTTGTGCTTAGGCCACTCTGCAGCAGCACAAATTACAAAGGGATTTATTTCCAAGACTTCAGAGGAGTAGCCCAAATTGAATTTTATAAATGTGCTCCCTTATTTAATAACTCCTTAACAAGTGATAATTTTTTAGTGTGGCCTTAAAAAAGCATGCTAATATGACTTGCTTCTTTTTAACCAGGGAACCCTAAATATAAACATTATAAAAAGCAGGATTCCCCCACTGTGAAAGAAATGCATTAAATGGTTAGAAAATAGTAGTTAAGAAGTGTAGTGTCTGCTAGAGCTGGATTATTCCTTTCCATTGTTCACCAGGAACTCTGTCAGAATGGTGCTGTCTTATTTTATTGAACCTATTGCTTAAAGAGACCAGATTCCTAGTCCAGTATAAGAAAGGGGAATATTAAGACTGTAGTTGTAAAGCAGGCTTGCAGGCAAGTCACTCTAAGTCAAAGAAGTATTCCCTGGAGACAGTGAAGGAATGCAGGCTATGTAGTGGAAGAGAGCTCCCCCGTGTGTGATAAAGGGTAAAAACAGATGTTGCATTTGTCCCAGGAGAAATCCCTTTGTTCTCAGCTCATGCATATCCAGCTATTTTCCTGCTTCAAGTCCCTCTGAAGTATGCTAGATAAAATGTACTAACACTTTAGCCTAAGATATGCCATTGTATGTCTGTCCAGTTATTGTGGTTCATTCTAGGGACAAGCCTGTCAGGCTGCATTCTCTCGCTGGCCACCTACTAGGGAAGCAGCAGCAATGAAGGTTGGAAAGGTAACAGTGTAAGCAATTGTGCCACTCCTGTTTTGATCTGGGTCAAATCCTGGGATAAGCAGTCCCAGTTACATGAGACATCTGTTTACAAAGGAATACAGAAGCTGAGACTAACACATGAAGAGACATTTTAATTACACACATGTATAAGTGTATGTATGTCACAAAAAATACAGTTTATGAAAGTGAACTAAAGACTGGGTAGGAAAAGACTAGCATGTAGATTTCATCAGGAATTTTCTTATGAATTTTTTCATTGGAAAATAGTGATGCATGAAAATTAAAATTTCTCACATAAGTGTATGTACCAGTTTGGACAGGGATAGAATTAGTCAAGATGAGGGAGATGCACCTGATAGCCTGATTCAGACCAGGGACTTGGAGCTCAATCTCCCACATTTCAGATGACTGCCCTGGAGACTTAACTATCAACTGTTTTGGAAAGGACCAGGCACTCATTTTTCACTTTAAATGGTCTCTTTGTTGTGTCCTGATGTAGAACAGGAACATTTTTTGATGCTGCAAAACTTTTGCAGGGCAAGGTAATCATTTTCCACTTAGCTCCACTAATAGGGATAGAGAAGCATCTATTGTAGTATATTCAACATCCTTTAAGGATAAAGTCCATTTGTTCTTTTCTTGAGAACAACCACCTATAAAATTTCAGGATTTTCAAAGACAATGCTTGCTTCCGCAGACTGAGATGAAGAGAAAGGAGATGATCCTCTAGAATGTGGCTGACAAGGATAATACACCAGTTTGTACTGAGGGATGGAGGACAGAAAGGAAAAAAAGATACTTACTGGGCATGTCTACACATTCAATTACTGCTATATGGGTTTACTCCACACTAAGTTACTGTGCAGTAAACCCGCCCTGGGCAGGTGTCCACATGTGCAGCCATTTAAGAGCAGATTTGCTGCTTATGACAGTAGCTTGCCCCTGGCCACCTCCAGTCCTGCACTGCTCCGCTGCAGCAGCCAGGGGGAGCTGGAGGCTCTGGTCACAGCTGCCTGTGGCCAGGAATCCTCTTTAAAAGCCAGGAGCAGGTCTGAAGCATGCTGCAGCTTGCTGGCACAGCCCTCTGTGACTCTTGTCACCAGAGCCTGGGCCCACTGCATGATGGCTGTTTCATCCCTAGGCCCCAGGAGTGACAACCTGCACCCTGGGCTCCTGCATGCCACCCTGCTTACTGCGCTTTACTGCCGTGGCAAACACTACCTGTTCCAAGTCAGTTTCAGTGCTGCCTGATCCCCTGCATGGCACGGCCCCAGGGCCAGGCTCACCACGGCATCTGAGGCCTCCTGTGACTGCGCTGCTGCTGCCCAGACTAGTGCCATCCATGAACTCCTGGGGCTCCAGCCCCGCCATCTGTGGGCCCATTGGGTCAGCCAGGACTGGTGGCTGAATGTTGTCCACCACACCTGGGATGACAAGCAGTGGCTGGAGTCCTTTCACATGACCTGAGCCACCTCCCAGCAACTCCTTGATCAGCTCCTGGAGCAACAGGTGACCACCATGTGGCTGCCTCTCCCTGCGGAGACTCAGCTGGCCATCACCCTGCTCAAGCTGACAATGCCTGCCACCCTGTGCTACATCAGCTATTTCTTCAGCATAGGCAGGGTGACCACTGGGGAGGCTGTCCTAGAGGCCTGCGGCACCCTCCAGAATGTGCTGGTGCATACCATGCTCCAGTTGCATGACCCCCTGGAGGTGGTGGTGGGGTTCCATGCCCTGGGCTTCCCCCAGTGCATCAGGGCCCTGGATGGGACCCACATCC